GTAACAGGCTAAAATAACCCCTGCGCCGATTAAACCCGGGTGTAGTTTGGCCCAGGCCAGAGTATACCCGGGGGGATACAGTGTCCTCGGCTAAACTATACCCCCCGGGGGTTTAAACTAGACTGGGCCAGACCATACCCCTCCAGGCCAGAATATGCCCCATGTGAGAGTTCAAAGAACTTCAATCGACATCTAAAAAGCGTATCAATGGAAGTAATAATCTCAATTTGATCAATTGAAGCATTTTTAGGGTTAGGAATAGGGTTAGGGTTATGGTAATAGTTAGGGTTAGAGTTAGGGATAGGGTTAGGGTTATTATTAAAGTTTTTTTCTGGTTGAAGCAATCAAAGTCTATGTGTTTACAGATTTAAATAAAATGTTGGAAAAATTTAGCAATTCATGTGTATATCGCTCAATGCTATTACTATCATGGGGGTATAATTTGGCCTAGGCCATAATATACCCCAGAGTATAAATTGGCCTCGGCCATAATATACCTGGGTATAATCTAGCCTAGGCCGTTTTAACCCCGGGTATACTACGGCCTGTTACACCGGTACTACACCCACACCCCTGTGGTATCCGCAATGTCGCAACAACGCACACCGTGCCCCTTTAGGGCCGGCACTGCACCCAGCATGTTGACATCCAGCGATGTCACTACATAGGCATTGTCTTTGAAACTGATTGGTCTGCACCAGAGACAGCCTTCTTTAGGGCCTAGTCTCACTACCAGTGTTAGACTAGAGAACGCCAAAAGGCGAACAGCACAAAGACAATGCCATCTATCATCAGGGCATGTTTTTGATTTAAAGCTTTCGTGACTGCAGGGATTCATATTCTTGGTTCTTTCGGTAAAGTCACGTAGAAGGGAAACAATAAAATAATAAAAATATAAAACAATAAAATTCTCACGACGTTTCGACTGCAACACAAGCAATCATCATCAGGTGTGTTAGCTGCCGGCTCTCTCCGCAGCTGGATGACGAGTCGGCACGACGCTCGCCGTCGGCGGTGCGCGATGATTCCGTCGTCAGATAGCGCACACAGCTCATCCGCTGGGCCGCCATTCCTCACTCTTGCTCATTCTCTTTGAGGCAGCAGCAGCAATGTTGCTTGTCCGCTGCTGAATGCCTTGGTTCCCAGCTGGTGCTGGTCGGTGTGTGTGTGGGTCCAACACACGGCACTCTCGCTGGCGCTGACACTCTTTCTCATGGGCGGCTGGTCGGGCTCTTTCCACTGCTCCGTTCTCTCTGGTGATGCACGATGGCTGTCGTTGCTCGTCCGCTGGTTGCCGGTGCCGACGCTCTTGTTTGGTGGATGTGTAATAAAGGTCGTTGAAGCGACTTCTGGAATCCGGTCTTTCATTACAGCACTTCCTTCACGCTGCTGACAGACAGCGTGAGAGGGATATAGAGAGAGAGAGTCGCGCGCAGCCACGTGGCAGCCTGGACCACGTGGCAGCCTGGACCACGTGGCAGCCTGGACCACGTGGCAGCCTGGACCACGTGGCAGCCTGGACCACGTGGCAGCCTGGACCCCCGCTCTCGCGTGGCCTCTCCCCTTCGTTCGTTCCAGTTCTGACCACGTGTCGTTCGTCTCCACCCCTATTTAATACCCGGGTCACGTGGTACGTTTCCACCAATCCTGGTTAGCCTGCATGGAATCTTCCAGACTCCACCGTAGGCTCCCGGGACCACGCCCCTGACTCGTCTCCCCATTGGCTGTGGCTAAAGCCAGCAGAACCAATCCTCTACTTACAGCTGTCACCTTTCCATCACGTCAGGGCCACGCCCCTAGGCTTCCCCCCATTGGCTATGGACCAGGACCGGCAGAGCCAATTATCGTGACGAGTTGTAATCCGTCAAAGACCCGGATATATCCTCACATTACAGATGCTTGGCGCTTTCCGCCCTCTCTCCCGGTTGATTGCTCGTTAGCTCAACTCCAGCTGCGGCTCCCGGCATTCGCTCTCAAAACTTGCAATTGTATTCGCACACCTCTTAGCCGACAGTGAAAGCTTAGTGCAATCCAACTTGTCGCAATCCTTGACTTTGCGAGCGACTCAACACATTAGGATAAATGTAAAATAAAACTTTCAGCGATACTCTGTCGGCTCATGCCGAACTCAGCTCTTAACGACACCTCGTCCCTTCTCTCTGCGAGACACGACACCCATGATTGATCCCGAGGCCGTGCCCCAGAGTCTGCCCCTCGCGAGCCTCCCTCACAAGAATAATGAGACTGCATGATCTGTGTTTATGCTTAAAAAATACCCGTGAAAATCCCTTCCCTCTTCGTGCGACTTCTCGCAAAGGACCTGAATTTCCTTTGATGTCGCTTTGATGTTGGGGAGGGGGAGTGGTATGTGTGTCTGTGTGTGTGTGCTTGTTTTACTTTACTGGGGGTGTTAATTTTCTTCCTCGAGTCATCCCGCTAACAATGGAAGTTTGTCTTCTTGGTTCTTTCAGTAAAGTCACGTAGAAGGGAAATAATAAAATAATAAAACTAAAACAATAAAATAATTCTCACGACGTTTCGGCCACAACGCAAGCAGCCGTCCTCAGGTGAAGAACAGGTCTGTCTTGAATGGAAGCTTCTGAATGAAACACCCCAGGCTTGGAGCGTATATTTAAGCTGGGTTGGAGGGCGAAGAGCGCCTTGACAAAATAATTTGCATATCAAGAGGAATTTAGCATATTTGTGGGAAATGCAGATATGGGATTAGTACTACTTGTGGAATGTGTAGGAGGTGGGGCGGGGGGTTTCAAAGTCATATTATGCCCGTGCATTATGCAGGATTAGCAGCATCAAAGGGAGGGGATAGGGGTAGCATTAATAAAGGGAAGGAATGTTAATAGTATGTAGCTGCAGTAACTAAACAACCACGTAAAAAACTAAAGTATAAACTACATAGTATCATCAGTATACTAAATATACTCTCCAATAAGCTGAGCTACTAACAGTATATTGTTTAATTTATATTATTTTATTATTTCCCTTCTACGTGACTTTACCGAAAAAACCCAAAAAAATGGAAGTTTGCTCCAGATGGCCCCCCGGTGCATCCCCTCAGTCCCCCCACCTTTCCTCGCGGTGTGTTTTTAAAATTATCTTTTATGGTTCATCTCCGGCTCTTTGTTTCTGAAAGGCAGCTGTGGTGTGGGGTGGTGGTTCCATTTTGTTTGTGCTCCAAGCGACCCCGCGATTGATTATATGAAAACAAATATTGGCAGAATTATTCTTAATATTGATCATGGAAAAATACATGAAATATGAGGATATACCCGGCTCACTGACGTATCACAACTTGTCATGGTGATTGGCTCTGCTGGTCCTGGTTTACAGCCAATGGGGAAAAGCCTGGGGGCATGGCCCTGACGTGATGGAAAGGTGACAGCTATGGGGATTGGATCTGCTGGCTTTGGCCACAGCCAATGGGGAGATGAGTCAGGGGCGTGGTCTCGGGAGCTAACGAGGGAGCCTGGAAGATTCGATGCAGGCTAACGAGGATTGGCGGAAACGTACCACGTGACCCGGGTATTAAATAGGGGTGGAGACGAACGACACGTGGTCAGAACGGGAATGAACGGAGGAAGGGGCCACGCGAGAGCTGGGCTCCGAGTTGCCATGTGGCAGTGCGTCTCTCTCGGTCTATCTGTCCCTTTCACGCTGCCTATCAGCAGCGTGTAGCAACTGTAACATAAGTGAATAAAAGACGGATTCCAAAAGTCGTCTCAACGAGCTTTATTACATACACAACAGCCCTCAGCAGGGGCGCTTGCCTGAAACTGGAACTACAAAGGTGGAGGAAGTCGGGGCTGACTGTTGTTGGAGCTGTGTCTACAAATGACTTTGAAATTGAAGACTTCATCTTTTTTTTTAAATGGACGTCTCCACGGAGCTTTTTTACAATCCTAACACAACTCCTGTTTTATTTCCAGAAAGGCCTCCTCTTACACTGGTCAACACACTTTTTCTGGCATAAGGTATTCCAACGGTTGTAAGGTAATTTGGGGTGCTGATTCCAAATCTGTCATCAGTTTTTGTCTATCATATCAGGTTTTTGAGATATAAAATATTGCATTTTCAATAAAAACTGCAGAAGAAAATATTAAATAGATGTGGATATCTACATAAAATTATATTATAAACACACTATCCTAAAAATACAGCACCATATTTAACACTAAAGCAGTCACTGACTCGCAACAACTTGCAATCATAAGTGACAGAGTTAATTTCGGGTAAAATCAATTAAAACTGGGTATGCAGATAGCATAAAATGAGATGCGATAGATCAAATCTGAGATCAGATTTGGAATTGGCACCCTGAAATTAGTCTAAAACAGGTGCAAAAGTCCAGGCCAGAAAAAAATGATTTTTTGTTGTTGTTGACCAGTGTTATTATTGTTATTTTAATCAGACGATGTTTATTGTTTGCATGTTCACTGCGAGTATTTGTGTTTGTGGGCGTTAAGGACTTGGATTCCTTGAGGTGTTTGGACCTCTTTATTTATCATTGTCATATTTTGCGACGGTGTTTGAACATCATTGGAACCTCATTTGCCAGTAAAAAATATGATAATTGTTTTTTTACCCTTCTATCTGGCAACAAAACTGACACCTTTTTTTACAAGGAGTCATGTTTGCATAGACCACAATACCTGCAGCCATAATGCAAACAAAAAAACATAACTCTGATAATGCATGCACTGTCCTTGAAGTTGATTGGTCCACACCCGAGACAGCTTTCCTTAGAGCCTAGTCTCATATGGGTTGGACCAGATGATGCGAAAAGGCGCCTTTTATCGGAGTTGTGTTTTTTGTTTGCATTATGACTGCAGGTATTGTGGTCTATGCACATATGACTCCTTGTAAAAAAGGTGTCAGTTTTGTTGCCAGATAGAAGGGTAAAAAAAACAATTATCAACGATCTTTGAACATCCTAAACACGTAACTCTCTCATCGCCAGCGAGAAAAAAAAAAACCCTGGCTTTTCATTGTGTCCCCCATGACTTATCTCAACAGAACTGCATGGTCGGGCATTCTTTTGGTGACCGTGCTCCGAGCGTAAGGGGAGGTTTAACGATCATCTATCTTCCCCTCACCCCGCTCTGGACACGTTTGCGCGTGCAGATTCTTCTGATATCGTTGCCAATTCCTCGCTTTTGTAACCTGTGGAACACCGCAACAACAACACGAAACTCACGTTACACATGAATAATAATATACATAGGTACGAGCGTCGGTTTTGTATCACGATCAACGAAACGTCAACGTGAAGTGCTTGCTTAAACGTGGTTACTGAACGGGGAATCGGTTAGAGGTTCGGAGGGAGGGGGGATCTACAATACTGGAGAGTGTAGAAATACAACAAGGATGTGAAAAGGGCGGACGATTGACCATTCGTGAGGGGACAGTGAAAAAGTGATTGGGGAGGGATATATGAAGGGACACATACACAGAAACCCGCATATACAAAGACAAACACAAATATTCCCCGTATAGCCTTAACAGACTGTAGGGGCAATTGCTGTTAGCGAGCACCTATGAAGGCCGACACGGCACACGAGGGGGTGGGTAGCAAGTAGACATGAAAACAAAAATCCCCAGGTAGCCTCTAGCAGGGCTGTAGGGGCAAGTGCTGTCAGTAACAAGTAGACATAAAGACAAAAATCCCCAGGTAGCCTCTAGCAGGGCTGTAGTGGCAATTGATGTCAGTAGCAAGTAGACATGAAGACAACAATCCACATACTCTTCGGTTCTTTCGGTAAAGTCACGTAGGTAAAAAAGTGATCTGAAGAAACTATGTGGATGGCACGTGACCACCCAGGTACACACACAAAGACAAAGATCAAAGTGCTGTTAGCGAGCACCTATGAAGGCCGGAACGACGCACGAAGGGGTGGGTGGCCAGCACCACGCCCGTCCGCCTTTGTCTCCCCAGTGGCCACGTTTACACACTGCACCAGGTACTCATTTGAGGCTGAGTCAACCTAGGGGAGGCCCAGGTCCGGTTCAGATAATCGTCACTGGTGATGGCCGTGAGCGGAAATCGAACCCGGGTCGCCAGGTTCATAGAGCAGCGCGCTAACCGCTACACTACTGCTCCCCATATACAACAACTGCCATTCACCCAAAGTGGCAGTGACGTCACCACGACGCTTATGCCAGGCCATGTGCACCTTGAGGCCACGTGAAGTGTCGAACACCCACTGACAGGAGGCCACGGGGCAGACCCAGCTGCTACGGGTCGACTGACTGAGATGACTGGCTGATGCACCACCTGTGCCCCCTACTGTGCCAACTTGCTGTGCTTTAGTCACCCGGCGCTCCGCTCATTGCTGTGAGCGTCGCTCCTCCGCCCTCCGTTGTTGTTGGAGGGCAACTGCCTCCAACTGCCCAGTAGCGTCCTTCACGAGCCTCCTCCACTGAGGCCGATCTTGACACTGCTGGTACCAGTCATCGGCAAATCCACTCAGCTCCACAACCTCCTATAACACATCACTGCATCGCTTCTCTAGCCCGTGCTGCGCCCGTTTAGCCCCCTCGATCCGGCCGAACAAAAGCTGTTTGGGCATGCGGTGTCTGGGCATGCGGGCTACATGGCCCAGCCAACTCAGCCTTGCCTGCTGGAGGTGCTCACCGATGGGACTTTTTCCAGATCTTTCAAAGATTTGTGAGCTCCTCATACAACCCAGCCTGGTTAAACCCAGGAATGATCGTAGGCAGGCCAGCCTGAATGTTTCTAAACGGCGAATATGTTCCATTAGGTGGGTCCACGTTTCGCAAGCGTAGAGAAGGGAGGGAATAACTGTGGCCGAGAAGACCCAAAGCTTCGTGCAGAGCGACAGACCAGGTTGCTTCCACACAGCGTTATGCAACCGATGAAAAGATAATGCCGCTCGACTGATTCGGAGTGAGACCTCTGCTGTTAAATTGGAGCGGTCACAGGTACACACACACAGACACACACAATAAAACACACAAACGGACACACACACACATCCAGACACACACAAACGGACACACACAGGCACACACACAGGTAGACACACTGACACATACACACAAACGGACACATGCATGGGACACTGCAAATGCGATCTGTCACTTCTGATCCTTCCCCACACGCATGTGTATCGGTGATAGTTACACGGGGTATACGCGTTACGCATGGGTTACATAGGTTGTATGGGCTGCAGGCGTTGTATGGTACATCTTCGTGCACCCACCAGAAAGACGGCGAGCATGAGCGCTGTGATGGCGAGAATGGCGTAGCAAACGATGGCTTCCATCGAGAAACAATCAAAGCCACCGCCACCGTGATCACCATCACCAGCGCCACCAACTTCACCATGACCAAGACCACCACCATCAAATCCATCACCACGGCTGGTTTGAGACTCTAGTGCAGCGTCCGTGAAGTGTTTGGCCTGAACAGCCAAATCGGTGATCGTCTCTGCCACTGGGAAATGGAACGTACGGACACACGGACACGGGTACACACACACAGACACACAGACAGGTAAACATACACACAGGTTACACACACAGGTTACACACACACAGGTTCACACACACAGGTTAACACGCAGCTACACACACAAAGAGAAAGATCCAAGTGATGTTAGCAAGCACCTATGAAGGCCAGACCGGCACATGATGGCGTGGGTTGCCAGCACCACGCCCGGCCGCCTTTGTCTCTCCAGTGGCGATGATTTCACACCGCACCAGGTACTCATTTAAGGCTGAGTCGACCTAGGAGAGGCCCAGGACCGGTCTAGATAATTGACAGATTTACTGTCCTCACTTGGTAAAGTAAATCTAGCTTTGACGGTCCCACCTGATGATGGAGACTTGTGTTGCCTCCGAAACGTCGTGATTTATGATTATATTTTGTTTCTATTATTACTTTTATTAATTTAATTTTTTACCTGATGGCCTTAATCTAAGTTGTCTTGTGGTTGTTATTGTTGTTTGACTTGCATCCCACTGGGATGTTTGCACACAGCGTTGGTGTACGGTGCTTTTTCTGCAATATTTTGTCGTCTTTTCTTGGATTTTCTGTTTGCACTCAGTCACATATTCACTTTAAGATGTTTTCTTGTTCAAGTTTTTGTTTTTTGTTTGTTGCGGTTGCACCCGATTCAAGAGCCGAATGGCTCACGGGGCTATACCTAACACATGAAACTTGAACTTGAACCAAAAAAAACCTAAGAGTATAAACCACCTCGGCAAAGTTCACGGAAGGGGCCTTCTGGAAGCCCCGGGATCCAGCTCGTAGGTTCTAGAAGGGGGGCGTGGTGAGGGCGGAGCAAGGTCACGTGGTGAGGGCGGAGCAAGACCACGTGGTGAGGGTGGTGCAAGGTCACGTGGTGAGGGCAGAGCAAGGTCACGTGGTGAGGGCAGAGCAAGACCACGTGGTGAGGGAGGAGCAAGACCACGTGGTGAGGGCAGAGCAAGACCACGTGGTGAGGGAGGAGCAAGACCACGTGGTGAGGGTGGTGCAAGGTCACGTGGTGAGGGCAGAGCAAGACCACGTGGTGAGGGAGGAGCAAGGTCACGTGGTGAGGGTGGTGCAAGGTCACGTGGTGAGGGCAGAGCAAGACCACGTGGTGAGGGAGGAGCAAGGTCACGTGGTGAGGGTGGTGCAAGGTCACGTGGTGAGGGCAGAGCAAGGTCACGTGGTGAGGGAGGAGCAAGGTCACGTGGTGAGGGAGGAGCAAGGTCACGTGGTGAGGGCGGAGCAAGGTCACGTGGTGAGGGCAGAGCAAGGTCACGTGGTGAGGGAGGAGCAAGGTCACGTGGTGAGGGCGGAGCAAGGTCACGTGGTGAGGGAGGAGCTAGACCACGTGGTGAGGGAGGAGCTAGACCACGTGGTGAGGGCGGAGCAAGACCACGTGGTGAGGGAGGAGCTAGACCACGTGGTGAGGGAGGAGCTAGACCACGTGGTGAGGGAGGAGCTAGACCACGTGGTGAGGGCGGAGCTAGACCACGTGGTGAGGGAGGAGCTAGACCACGTGGTGAGGGAGGAGCTAGACCACGTGGTGAGGGAGGAGCAAGACCACGTGGTGAGGGAGGAGCAAGACCACGTGGTGAGGGAAGAGCTAGACCACGTGGTGAGGGAGGAGCTAGACCACGTGGTGAGGGAGGAGCTAGACCACGTGGTGAGGGAGGAGCAAGACCACGTGGTGAGGGAGGAGCTAGACCACGTGGTGAGGGAGGAGCTAGACCACGTGGTGAGGGAGGAGCTAGACCACGTGGTGAGGGAAGAGCTAGACCACGTGGTGAGGGAGGAGCTAGACCACGTGGTGAGGGAGGAGCAAGACCACGTGGTGAGGGAGGAGCAAGACCACGTGGTGAGGGAGGAGCAAGACCACGTGGTGAGGGAGGAGCAAGACCACGTGGTGAGGGAGGTGCAAGACCACGTGGTGAGGGAGGAGCAAGACCACGTGGTGAGGGAGGAGCAAGACCACGTGGTGAGGGAGGAGCAAGACCACGTGGTGAGGGAGGAGCAAGACCACGTGGTGAGGGAGGTGCAAGACCACGTGGTGAGGGAGGAGCAAGACCACGTGGTGAGGGAGGAGCAAGACCACGTGATGAGGGAGGAGCAAGACCACGTGGTGAGGGAGGAGCTAGACCACGTGGTGAGGGAGGAGCAAGACCACGTGGTGAGGGAGGAGCTAGACCACGTGATGAGGGAGGAGCAAGACCACGTGGTGAGGGAGGAGCAAGACCACGTGGTGAGGGAGGAGCAAGACCACGTGATGAGGGAGGAGCAAGACCACGTGGTGAGGGAGGAGCAAGACCACGTGGTGAGGGAGGAGCTAGACCACGTGGTGAGGGAGGAGCAAGACCACGTGGTGAGGGAGGAGCTAGACCACGTGATGAGGGAGGAGCAAGACCACGTGGTGAGGGAGGAGCAAGACCACGTGGTGAGGGAGGAGCAAGACCACGTGATGAGGGAGGAGCAAGACCACGTGGTGAGGGAGGAGCAAGACCACGTGGTGAGGGAGGAGCTAGACCACGTGGTGAGGGAGGAGCAAGACCACGTGGTGAGGGAGGAGCTAGACCACGTGGTGAGGGAGGAGCAAGACCACGTGGTGAGGGAGGAGCAAGACCACGTGATGAGGGAGGAGCTAGACCACGTGGTGAGGGAGGAGCAAGACCACGTGGTGAGGGAGGAGCAAGACCACGTGGTGAGGGAGGAGCAAGACCACGTGGTGAGGGAGGAGCTAGACCACGTGGTGAGGGAGGAGCAAGGTCACGTGGTGAGGGAGGAGCAAGGTCACGTGGTGAGGGCGGAGCAAGACCACGTGGTGAGGGAGGTGCAAGGTCACGTGGTGAGGGCAGTGCAAGGTCACGTGGTGAGGGCGGTGCAAGGTCACGTGGTGAGGGCGGTGCAAGGTCACGTGGTGAGGGCGGTGCAATGTCACGTGGTGAGGGCGGTGCAAGGTCACGTGGTGAGGGCGGTGCAAGGTCACGTGGTGAGGGCGGTGCAAGGTCACGTGGTGAGGGCGGTGCAAGGTCACGTGGTGAGGGCGGTGCAAGGTCACGTGGTGAGGGCGGTGCAAGGTCACGTGGTGAGGGCGGTGCAAGGTCACGTGGTGAGGGAGGAGCAAGGTCACGTGGTGAGGGCGGTGCAAGGTCACGTGGTGAGGGCGGTGCAAGGTCACGTGGTGAGGGCGGTGCAAGGTCACGTGGTGAGGGCGGTGCAAGGTCACGTGGTGAGGGAGGAGCAAGGTCACGTGGTGAGGGCGGTGCAAGGTCACGTGGTGAGGGAGGAGCAAGACCACGCTGGGAGGATAACAATGGGGCCCTTCGTGCGAGAGCTCGGGGCTGTTGCTGGGAGGAGTCGACCGTCCTCGCCGTGCGACAGAGGTCGCAACTGGGTACCCGATACCCGTACCCTACTCGATACCCGGCTACCCGTACCCGGCCGGGTATGGGTACGGGTACCCGTTTGCGACCCTGGTGCGGCCGGGTACAGGTAGGCTGTGAGTCACTGGTGAGTAATCGGTTGTCACTCATTTCTCAACGTCTTGTCTCTTCTTACAATTCAAGTTCCTAGAATCAACCCACCCGCACCTGCAACATGGCTTCATCCCAGAGGTCGCAATTGGGTACCCGATACCCGTACCCTACCTGTACCCGGCCGGGTACGGGTAGGGTATCAAAACCCGTTTGCGACCTCTGCCGTGCGAACATCTCACCACCATCTGTGCCGCCGTAGCTCGACGTTGCTGAACGCCGCTAGCTCGACAGCCTGCAAACTTTTATAGCTCGTTAGTGCGGCCAACGATGGACGGTTGCGTATGTGTAAAATATATATGTTTGTGTGTGGCGTACACCCAGTTTAACACGTAGGCATTCTCGACCGACTGTCAGTGTCGGAGACCTCTCCTACATCAACATTAGCTGCCCGCCCATCTCTAAACCTTTAGAAACAGCTCTTTGATTGGTGTAGACCTACTGCCAGTGTCGGAGACCTCTCCTACATTAACATTAGCTGCCCCGTCGATCTCTAAACCTTTATAAACAGCTCTCTGATTGGTGTAAACCTACTGCCGGTGTCGGAGGCCTCTCCTACATTAACAACTGCCCCGCCCATCTCTAAACCTTTATAAGCAGCTCTCTGATTGATGTAGACTTACTGCCCGTGTCGGAGGTTTCTCCGACATTAACATAAGCTGCCCCGCCCATCTCTAAACCTTTATAAACAGCACTCTGATTGGTGTAGACCTACTGCCGGTGTCGTGGCCCTCTCCCTACATTAACATAAGCTGCCCCGCCCATCTCTAAACCTTTAGAAACAGCTTGCCATCAGAGGCTAACCTCCCTGTTCCTGATGACGCCCCCTTGTGTTGCGATTGAAACGTGGTGATATTTTTATTGTTTTCTATTAACTTTATTTTAATTTTATTTTATTATTATTTTATTGTTATTATCTTTTTCTTCTATCTTCGTTACTTTACCGAAAGAACCATAGAATGGTATTATTCATAATAACGTTTTTTGGGTTAGATCGCCTAAGTTTAAATGTGTCGCAACCCTCCTCCACGTGACATGGCCAATCAGTAAGAAATGTGTCACGTTAACAAAACGCCAATTAGTTCTTCAGCCCACCGGTGTGTTTGAAGAGTGAATCCACAACATTTAGAATTTGAGGACCACGACGTTTCGCTGGCGATTGCATCCAGCATCTTCGTACATGCAGGGAGCATGCACTCCCCCCTTGCGTGCGAGAATGAACAAGGTGCCTCCAATCTATACCGTCTCCGAACTGCGTCACTACACACTTTTTTTAGTGGGTTGGATCGCATGAATATGTAAAATTTGTGTCATTAAACCGGCCACCACCCGACACAGCCAATTTGTTACCAGTCCGGGTACAGGATGCAGGAACAGCTGCCCTCACCACTCACCTTAACTCACCAGCTCACCACTACCTCACCACTACCGCACAACTCCTCACCACCAGCTCTCCTCTCACCACCACGAGCTTCTGCTTCTCCACGTGGACCACTCCACTGATCTCCGGGTACAGGATGCAGGAGTAGCTCCATTCACCACTCACCTTTATTCACCAGCTCATCACTACCTTATTCATATTCTTAGGTTTTTTTCGGTAAAGTCACGTAGGTAAAAAATTAAAATTAATGAAAGTAAAATAAAAATAAAAATCACGACGTTTCGGAGGCAACACAAGCTTCCGTATTCAGATGGAACAGTCACAGCACGATAGCTGTATCAAGTGAGAGAAATTCCAAGAAACAGTATTTGTATATATACTGGTTGAGGGTGGGAGGAGCCAAGGTAGGCCCTGGATATTATTTTTGTGAGGTTCGGTGCGGCTGAAGCACGCTGTTAGGAATGAGCCTTTGTTGTGTAAACTAGGTGCGGATGATGTAAAGGTGCGTGTAAATGGGACTGAGCCTTTTGTTATGTAGAGATGATGCGGCGAGAATCATTGCGAGGAAATGATTCTTTGTTGTGTAGAATGGTTGACTGAGCCTATTGTTATGTAGAGGTGATGCGGCTTCCTCACCACTACCTCACAACTCCTCACCACCAGCTCACCTCTCACCACCACGAATCTCGTCCTCTGCACGTGCACCACTTCGCGGAGCTCTGGGTACAGGATGCAGGAGTAGCTCCATTCACCACTCACCTTAACTCATCAGCTCACCACTACCTCACCACTCCTCACCACCAGCTCACCTCTCACCTCCACGAGCTTCTGCTTCTCCACGTGGACCACTCCACTGATCTCTGGGTACAGGATGCAGGAGTAGCTCCATTCACCACTCACCTTAACTCACCAGCTCACCACTACCTCACCACTCCTCACCACCAGCTCACCTCTCACCACCACGAGTCTCGTCCTCTGCACGTGCACCACTTCGCCGAGCTCTGGGTACAGGTGGCACGAGTAGCTCCCCGCATCTTCTAAGCCGGCCCCGTCAATCTCGAGCGAGTTGTCGGGCGCCAGGCGGAAGCGGGGTCCGTACGCCGGGTTGTACTGCACTCCTACGTCGCGGCCGTCACCGCCAAGGTGCTTCACCAAGATGGTGTCATCGGAGCCCTCACCTGTCACCTGCGCAAGCACCCGGCCAAATCGTGATTATTGCAGGTGTAGTGGTGTAGTGTAGAGTGCAGTGTATAGTAGTGTAGTGTATAGTGTAGTGTATAGTAGTGTAGTGTATAGTGTAGTGTATAGTAGTGTAGTGTATAGTGTAGTGTATAGTAATGTAGTGTATAATGTAGTGTATAGCAGTGTAGTGTATAGTAGTGTAGTGTATCGTGTAGTGTATAGTAGTGTAGTGTGTAGTGTATAGTAGTGTAGTGTATAATGTAGTGTATAGCAGTGTCGTGTGTAATAGTGTGGTGTACAGTAGTGTCGTCTATAGTGTAGTGGATAGTAGTGTGGTGTATAGTAGTGTATAATGTAGTGTATAATGTAGTGTATAGTAGTGTAGTGTATAGTAGTGTAGTGTATAGTATATAGTAGTGTAGTGTATAGTGTAGTGTATAGCAGTGTCGTGTGTAGTAGTGTGGTGTACAGAAGTGTAGTCTATAGTGTAGTAGATAGTAGTTTGGTGTATAGTAGTGTATAATGTAGTGTATAATGTAGTGTATAACAGTGTAGTGCATAGTCGTGTACAGTGTAGTGTATAGTAGTGTATAGTGCAGCGTATAGTAGCGTATCGTAGTGTAGTGTATAGTATTGCATAGTATAGTGTATAGTAGTGTTGTGTGTAGTGTAGTGTATAGTCGTGTATAGAATAGTGTATAGTAGTCTATAGTGCAGTGTATAGTCGTGTATAGTGTAGTGTATAGTAGTGCATTGTGTAGTGCATTGTATAGTGTAGTACATAGTACTGTATAGCGTAGTGTATAGTCGTGTATAGTGTAGCGTTTAGTAGTGTATAGTGTAGTGTATAGTAGTGTATAGTGCAGTGTATAGTCGTGTATAGTGTAGTGTATAGTTTTGCATAGTATAGTGTATAGTAGTGTATTGTGTAGTGCAGTTTATAGTGTAGTATATAGTAGTGTATAGTGTATAGTAGTTTTGTGTATAGTGTTTAGTAGTGTAGTGTATAGTCGTGTATAGTGTAGTGTATAGTAGTGTATAGTGCAGTGTATAGTCGTGTATAGTGTAGTGTATAGTAGTGCATTGTGTAGTGCAGTGTATAGTGTAGGAAATAGTACTGTATAGCGTAGTGTATAGTCGTGTATAGCGTAGCGTTTAGTAGTGCATAGTGTAGCGTATAGTAGTGTATAGTGTAGGGCATAATCGTGCAGTGTATTATTGAGAAATCGGCGCCATTGAGATAATTGAAGGCACGTGCCATAGTGGGGTGGAGGGCGCTGTCTGATATGGGCGGGGTTGAGAGGGTAAAAGGGTAAAGGTAAAGGTGTCGACATGCCAAGGGGTAAGGTAAAGGGTAGGGTAAAGGTAGCTCGGAAGAATTACCCGGTAGGGTAAAGGTAGCGCGAAGTTTTAAACCGGTAAATACGGTGCCTTGTTTACCGCTAGAAGCTCCGTGGCGCAGTCCGTGGCCTCCATTTAATAAGTAATATTAAAACAAACTTTCTTAAAAACACGCTTTTATTAAATGTGTGAGTAATGGCAGAACTCCACGACTCCAGGAAGTGGCCCCAAAGCTTGCCGTGACGTAAGGGACCGTGGCCAATTACAGCCAACGTCAGTTGAGCGTGGACAATTTTACCCAAGCCGAAACATAACGTATAAAAAAACATTTTATGATAGAATATAGTGTTGTCCTCAGTATGACATAAGTATACCAAGTTTTCAGTCGATACCACATTAGAAAGTGGGTAAAAATGTAGTTACAAGATTTGAGGATGCAACAACGACAACAACAACGACAACAACAACAAGCGTGTAAAATTGGAATCATCGAGAGTATTCTATATGAATTAAGCGCTCTACCTAGCATTTACCGTTATAAACCTTGTTCATGTGTAGTTCCTTAGTAATTACCCTGTAATTGGGTAATTTACATGGGATAAGGGTAAAAGGTAGGGTAGAGTGATTGTATCTTAATTTTGGAGCTTTCGTGACTGCAGGAATTATTCTTTGTTTCTTTCGGTTAAGTCACGTCTAAAGATAAAATAATAAATTAAAATAATAGCATATTACGACGTTTCGATTGCAACACAAGCAATCATCATCAGGCATAAAAGAAATAGCAACACAAATCTAACTAGAAAACTATAGACATACATACAAGCAGACAGACATCACAACAGCACAATGAGAGAGGTAAAAGGTAGGGTAAAAATAGGCTCGTTGTTTTTACCTTTTAACTTTTACCTTACCTTGCCGAGGCCTACCCGGAGACCAACAAGCCACGAGGTGGAGGACATGGGAGCTGACTGTTCGCGGAGATCTACGTCTCCGCTATTCTTGAGAAATTACAGGTTTCACCTTTTTTTAGAATGGACGTCTCCAAGGAGTTTCTTTGCAGTAGTCTAGTGTATAGTGTCGTGTGTATAGTAGTGTAGTGCAGTGTATAGTAGTGTAGTGCAGTGTATAGTAATGCAGTGTATGGTGGTGTAGAGTAGTGCATAGTAGTGTCGTGTGTATAGTAGTGTAGTGCAGTGTATAGTAGTGTTGTGTATGGTGGTGTAGTGTAGTGCATAGTAGTGTCGTGTGTATAGTAGTGTAGTGCAGTGTATAGTAGTGTTGTGTAAAGTAGTGTAGTGTATAGTAGTTGCAGTGTATAGTAGTGTAGTGCAGTGTATAGTAGTGTAGTGCAGTGTATAGTAATGCAGTGTATGGTAGTGTAGTGTAGTGCATAGTAGTGTAGTGTGTATAGTAGTGTAGTGCAGTGTAGTTTATGGTAGTTTAGTGCAGTGTATAGTAGTGTAGTGTAAAGTAGTGTAGTGTATAGTAGTGCAGTGTATAGTAGTGTAGTGCAGTGTATAGTAGTGTAGTGCAGTATATAGTAGTGTAGTGCAGTGTATAGTAATGCAGTGTATGGTAGTGTAGTGTAGTGCATAGTAGTGTAGTGTGTATAGTAGTGTAGTGCAGTGTAGCGTATGGTAGTGCAGTGTATAGTATAGTAGTGCAGTGTATAGTAGTGCAGTATATAGTAGTGCAGTGTATAGTCGTGTTTGTGTAGTCTATAGTAGAGCATAGTAGTGCAGTATATAGTAGTGCATTGTATAGTAGGTATAGTGTGTATAGTATGTGTAGTGTGTAGAGTAGGTGTAGTGTGTATAGTCGCTGTAGATTAGTGTAATGTATAGCGTATTATATTGTGGTTATCGGCTTCCTTAAAGGCGGAAATAAGATTAGGGTGTTTTCCAGAACCTCGTTTGCTATGCACGAGTTGTGGATTCGACCCCAGACCCTACCACTATGGTGTTTCGTAGATGTTAGCTACCTTTGCTGCTACTCAGGAGGTCGCGGGTTCGATACTGACAACTAACGCCACGGTGGCCAGGAGATGTTAACTACCTCACCTGGTATGCAGGAGGTCGTGGGTTCGGTCCTGGACCCTGACGATGATTGCCGTTGCTATATATTTGTGCGTGTGGTGTCTGTAAGTGTGGGTGGCGTTCATAGGCGTGCGTGGCGTTCTTAAGTGTGGGTGGTGTTCGTAAGTGCTGATGGTGTTCGTAAATGTGGGTGGTGTTTCTAAGTACGGGTGGTGTTCGTAAGTGCTGGTGGTGTTCGTAAATGTGGGTGGTGTTTCTAAGTACGGGTGGTGTTCGTAAGTGCTGGTGGTGTTCGTAAATGTGGGTGGTGTTTCTAAGTACGGGTGGTGTTCGTAAGTGTTGGTGGTGTTCGTAAATGTGGGTGGTGTTTCTAAGTACAGATGGTGTTCGTAAGTGCTGGTGGTGTTTGTAAATGTGGGTGGTGTTTCTAAGTACGGGTGGTGTTCGTAAGTGCTGGTGGTGTTCGTAAATGTGGGTGGTGTTTCTAAGTACGGGTGGTGTTCGTAAGTGCTGGTGGTGTTCGTAAATGTGGGTGGTGTTTCTAAGTACGGGTGGTGTTCGTAAGTGCTGGTGGTGTTCGTAAATGTGGGTGGTGTTTCTAAGTACGGGTGGTGTTCGTAAGTGCTGGTGGTGATCGTAAGTGTGGGTGGCGTTCTTAAGGAAATGCAGTTGTTCATAAGTCGTGGCTCTTATAAGTTGGGTGTTCGTAAGCTGAGGACCGCCTTACCCTGCTCCAATTCAGTTCGTTGTACTTGGCGTATTGGACAAGGCTTTGTGCACACCTCAGCAAGACTGAGGTGCCCTGCTGAGCCCAAACATCCTCCACCATGGCATCTATGGCCTCGTCTGTCAGTCTCTGTCTGTCTCTCTTTGCACATTCACCCCCCGTATATCCTGCACACACAGAGACAGATACACAGACAGATATACAGACACACGGACAGATATACAGACACACAGACAGATACACACGCAGACTGATACACACACAGACACGCACAAACACACACAGCCAAACAGATAGATACACACCACACACACACTACCCCGGTCGTGTGTTGGAGAGGAAACAACAGGAGGTACAAGAACATTGATCATGCATAAAGTTTGTTATAGACTATACGGGGGATCTTTGTCTTTGTGTATCTATTTGTGTACCTGTGTGTACCTATGTGTGTGTACATGTGAGTGTACCTGTGTGTGTGTACCTGTGTGTGTACCTGTGTGTACCTATGTGTGTGTGTACCTGTGAGTGTACCTGTGTGTGTACCTGTGTGTGTACCTGTGTGTGTGTACCTGTGAGTGTACCTGTGAGTGTACCTATGTGTGTGTGTACCAGTGAGTGTACCTGTGTGTGTGTACCTGTGTGTGTACCTGTGTGTGTACCTATGTGTGCACCTGTGAGTGTACCTGTGTTTGTACCTGTGAGTGTGTACCTGTGGGTGTACCTTTTTGTGTACCTGTGTGTGCATGTACCTAGGTATTTACCTGTGTGTGTACTTAGGTATTTACCTGTGAGTGTACCTGCGTGTGTGTGTGCCTGTGTGTGTACCTGTGTGTGTACCTGTGTGTGTACCTGTGAGTGTACCTGTGAGTTTGTACCTGTGAGTGTACCTGTTTGTGTACCTGTGTGTGCGTGTACCTAGGTATTTACCTGTGTGTGTACTTAGGTATTTACCTGTGTGTACCTGTGTGTGTGTACCTGTGTGTGTACCTGTGTGTGTGTACCTGTGTGTACCTGTGAGTATACCTGTGTTTGTACCTGTGAGTGTACCTGTGAGTGTTCCTTTTTGTGTACCTGTGTGTGCGTGTACCTAGGTATTTACCTGTGTGTGTACTTAGGTATTTACTTGTGAGTGTACCTGCGCGTGTGTGCGTACCTGTGAATATACCTGGGTGTACCTGTGTGTACTTGTGTGTACCTCCATAATATAGGTTTTTTTTGGGGTTAGTTCACGAAAATATAAATATTGTGTCGTTAAACCCTTCACCACCCGACACAGCCAATTAGTAAGGTTTGTCACGTAAACAGAACGTGCCAATTCGTTACTAGTGTAGCGACTGACTCAGAGACACTGAGTGTAGGATGCACTCTGTTTATTAACACGGCCTAACTGTTAACGCTCGGTAACTACGGTTCCCAGTCAGGACAGCTGGAAGACTGCCTGACTGGCGACGCCGAGATGATGAAGACTCCAGCAGCGTGACGGGATCCCACTCCACACGACAGCCCCGAGCTCCCCTCCCGGGGCCCCTCTTATATTGCCAGCGTGGCCTGGCTACGCCCCCCCCCCCCCGGCCACGCCCCCTTCTGGAACCTTCTAGCGGGTTCTCGATGTGCCCCTTCCGTAACCTTCCCCTACATCCATCTCTCTGGTCTATCACGTGACCTGCTGTCAGTCAGGCAGAGGTCGCAATCGGGTACCCAATACCCGTATCCTACCCGGCTACCCGTACCCGGCTGGGTACGGGTACGGGTACCCGTTTGCGACCCTGGTGCGGCCGGGTACAGGTACGGGTAGGCCGTGAGTCACTGGTGAGTCACCGTTTGTCACTCATTTCCCAACGTCTTGTCTCTTCTCACAATTCAAGTTCCTAGAATCAACCCACCCACGCCTGCAACATGGCTTCATCCCAGAGGTCGCAATCGGGTACCCGTACCCTACCCGATACCCGGCCGGGTACGGGTAGCCAGGTATCGGGTAGGGCACGGGTACGGGTACCCGTTTGCGACCCTGGTGCGGCCGGGTCCGGGTAAGGAATCATAACCCGTTTGCGACCTCTGCAGTCAGGGCTGCTGTACGCTGCAGATCCCCTTCCCTGCCAGCAGCCGGCGCTATGCTGCTACGTGACCGATTTTACGTCACTACACTAGTACAGCACACCGGTTGTGTTGGAACTGGCTTGTCGCCTGATGATGCCGGTTGTAATTATTGGTGAAACGTCGTGCTCAGGTTGTAAATGTTGCCGATTTGCTCTTCAACACACAACCGGTGTAGTTGCTGTACGAGTACCGAATTGGCCACGTTCTGTTTACGTGACACTCAACCTTGCTGTGTCGGGTAGTGATGGGTTTAACGACACAACCTTTAAGTTTTCGTGATCTAACCCAAGAAACAACCTGTATAATGGATGCAATTGTTCGCAAAAATCTACGTGATTGCAAATGTTGTGGATTTTCTCTCCAATATTTACTGAGTACTCATGTTGTAAATGTTTCGGTAAAGTCACGTAGAAGGGAAATAATAAAATAATAAAAATAAAACATTATTAAATAATTATCACGACGTTTCGGCCACAAGAAGAACAGGTCTGTCGGAAAGACAACGTCGTGAGAATTATTTTATTATGTTTTATTTTTATTATTTCCCTTCTACGTGACTTTACCGAAAGAACCAAGAAGATGAATCCCTGCAGTCACGAAAGCTTTAAATCGAAATTTAAAGTTGTAAATGTTGTGGATTTGCTCTCCAACACACGACTGATGTGCTGTACTAGTGTTGTGGCATAAACCTCGAGGAGACGTCTTCTTAGCGGCAACACGTTTATTGTAGATAAACGACAACACTAGCCGTAACACTGAGGGGCATGGCCCCTGTAACACTAAGGGGTACGTCCCGTTCACCCGATAACCTAAGGGAGGTACGGCTTCCCTTCTAGCGGAGCCCTACAGACTCTGGGCTACGCACTCACGGGTCCTCCGCTACGGGACCTACGGAAGGCCAGGGAACGGGTCCCACCACTGGTCCGCTACAACCCGGCTCTTACAAGAGCCTCGGTTGAGGGTTCCAGGGTGCTGGTTTAGTCTTCAGACGTCTTCGCGTCTTGAGTGGATGAACTCTGCCGGTCCCGTTGAGAGGACCGGCTTTTAAACACAAGTTGGGGCTTACCCCGACCCGAGCCACACCTTCCCTTGAACCTTCTAGAAGGGTCTGGAAGGGTCGGGAATGGACCGTCGGACCCCAGCCCCAGAGGTCGCAACCGGGTACCCGATACCCGTACCCTACCCTATACCCGGTTACCCGTACCCAGTGGGGTACGGGTACGGGTAGCCGTTTGCGACCCTGGTGCGGCCGGGTACGGGTACGGGTAGGCCGTGAGTCACCGGTGAGTAACCGTTTGTCACTCATTTCCCAACGTCTTGTCTCTTCTCACAATTCAAGTTCCTGGAATCAACCCACCTGCGCCTGCAACATGGCTTCATCCCTGAGGTTGCAACCGGGTACACGATACCTGTACCCTACCCGATACCCGGCTACCCGTACCCGGCCGGGTACGGGTACGGGTAGGGTACCCATTTGCGACCCTGGTGCGGCCGGGTACGGGTACAGGTAAGGAATCAAAACCCGTTTGCGACCTCTGCTCAGCCCCCACCCCTTGGGGGTCTGGGGTCTCAACCTCCGGTCACGGGGCCCCCTATCGGCCTGTGAGTGTGGTGACAGTAAGAAGACATATACAGAGCCTTGGTATGGCCCAACACGAGTAACGAATTGGCCACGTTCTGCTTACGTGAAACGCAACCTCACTAATTAGCTGTGTCGGGTCGTGGCAGGTTTAACAACACAACATTTACATACTCTTAGTTTTTTTCGGTAAAGTCACGTAGGTAAAAAAATGAAATTAAAATTAATAAAAAATAAAATAATAAAAATAATAAAAATCACGACGTTTTTAGCCCCCCCCTCTCTTCCAATACGTCATCATGTGCACCAACAGGGGCTTGTGCACAAACACGTCCACTTCGACGTCTACGTACACCTCTTTTAGCCCTCCCCTCTCCCAATACGTTCCATTCATTGGCTACCACATTCTAAGCTCCCCCCCCCTCCCCCTTAACTTGTATTTAAGAGCTTGCATCTTTGAATCTCTGCCTAACTTGATGCAGCAAATCTGGCTGTGACGGTCCCACCTGATGGCGGAGACTTGTGTTGCCTCCGAAACGTCGTGATTTTTATTATTTTCATTATTTTATTTTTATTAATTTTTATTTAATTTTTTTAACCTACGTGACTTTACCGACAAAACTAAGAGTATGAATCCTTGCAGTCACGAAAGCTTCAAATCTAGAAACAACATTTACACTTAAGCGATCTAACCCAACACAACCCTATATTATGAATGATACTGATCGCGGAAGCTTCAATGTTATTTTTTCCTGTTCACGACATTGTGGGGAGTTTGGGGGTGGCTCGGGTTTGCGTGTCGTGTATACGGTTTGGTCAGCAGTATGGATCGTGTGGTTTGGGTATTTTTTAAACCCATTTGTTTAACTGCCGCAGCGTGGGGAAATTGGCATAGAAGTTAACCTATTCTTAGGTTTTTTCGGTAAAGTCACGTAGGTAAATATTAAAAATTTAAATTAATAAAATAAAAATAAAATAAAAATCACGACGTTTCGGAGGCAACACAAGCTTCCGTCTTCAGGTGGAACCGTCACAGCACGATTGCTGTTACTTGAAACAGCAATTACCCCAGGTTAACCACCACACGGTCCATTCCATTGCTGTTACTTGAAACAGCAATTACCCCAGGTTAACCACCACACCGGTCCATTCCATTGTTGTTACTTGATACAGCAATCGTGCTGTGACGGTTCCACCTGAAGACAGAAGCTTGTGTTGTCTCCGAAACGTCGTGATTTTTATTTTATTTTTATTTTACTTTTATTAATTTAAATTTTTTTACCTACGTGACTTTACCCAAAAAAAACCTAAGAATATGAATCTTTGCAGTCACGAAAGCTTCAAATCTAGAAGTTAACCTGTTGGGGAAAGGGCGGTATTAGTAGTAGCGAGTAGCAGCAGCAGCGTCTATGAAGGCCTGCACTGTGGCATGCACAGACAAAGATAAAGATCCCCCGTATAGCCTTAACAGACTGTAG